TTTTCTTTCTAATGGTGAAAACCGCAGGTCGCTAGCTGCATCCGTTCAGGAGATATTCCTCCTTGAGTTTTCTCCATCTACTTCTGGCGCCGACATTAGCAGATATATCAAAAAATAAATTCCTTCAAAATGGTCTTCTAACAAAAAGACATGAGTTTCCAATCGTTAGTATTCAATTAAAATTCATAAATAAATATGCTTATGTAATTAAAACTCGGTTTTGGATGAATTCATTTTTTGCTACACCCTTCAAGAGAAACCGTGGCTAAATTTTTTGATGGAAAAAAAAAAAGTTATCCTGTAGTTTAGATATTTAGATAGATCGAATAAAATAAAAATTCTTACTTGTGATTTTGTTGTCATTGTTTTATCACGAAGAACAGTATTTATTCCTGTAACATGACTAATTTTCAATAGAGTATTTCCTGGTGGTTCGAGAGATAATGCAAGATGAGATAAAACTTGACTTAAAATAGTTGCTGTATATATTCGTTCAACAAATACAATACATCGACCAGATTTTGTTTTTTCAACTTTTTGTTTAATAATTCGAGCAAGTAATATTCGAACTTTTGGACTAAATAATATATCATAATTATGTTCATTTAATCGATATAAATTTTTTAATATATCATCAATAAGACATTCAAGACGTTGAAAAATATCATCAAACATTTCACGAGCTGTTGGATCAATAATTGACAAACGAATAGGATTAGATTTTAATTTTTTTCGTAATTCTTTTGCAAATAATAATAAACCATATAGACCAAGTTCATAACCAACTTCAATTAAATTTTCAAGATAACGTTTTATATGTAATATTACTACACATTGAGATTGAATAAATATTGTATAATTAATTGATTGTTGATTATAAATAGCAATATTATTACCACGATAATCTGTTGTTAATATTGTATGACTAAGATTTCTTTCGATATTTTTATATTCATCTTTTCTTTTTGACATATAACTTTCAACTGTATTACGCATTGAATTTATAATCTAACGATAGAAAAAAAAAAAGAAACAATAATAATATATTGTTGATGAGATATGAAATTATTTTCATGAAAAACAAACAATAAATCTGTTGAAGATAGAAGACCTAAGATAAAATGGCTAATCTTCATTTCTACTAAAAAGCTTTTTAGTATTTTTCTGATGAGCTATTTCGAATCTATTTGATGAAATCTCGAAAATATCTTTGTAATCATAATGAAATTTTATATTAAAAAACGTTTTCTTCTTGACATTCGATACTATGTGTGATAATAAAAGACTATGAATATAGGATATTTGATTAAAAATAATCTATGAACGATATTTCAGTATATATCAACATGTAAGTAAAACTAATGAAGGCTATTGACTAAGTTTTTGTTATTAAAGCAATAAAGAGAATAATTTCATTCGATCGAAACTTATAAAACAATAGTATTAATAATTCATCTATCGGCTTGTCCACGTAACGCGCTACTTCGCTGCCCAAGTTTTAAAAAATTTTTTTTTTCGATATGGACACATCTAAGCGTATTTTCTAGTACAGTTTTTTACGCTGATTATGAATTTGGACTTTTTTTCTTAAAACCAATTGAGTTTTAGCATCGAAAACCGGGTTTCAAAATTTTCAATTTTCTAACCAAGAAATTTAAAACAAAGATGCAGAGTAATATACCATTCGACGCAGAATTTGATTCTCTACAAAATGGCCTATTCATTTTTTACTCTTATTCCTCATGAGAACTTCTAAGCTCTTGTACAGTTTCTAACTTTCTGTACAATTATTGAGCTCCCATTTCGATGTAGCAACTTGATAATTTTACAGAACGATATATGTACGGCAGTGATCAATGTATGTGCACGTTAAATATTTT